AGTTGGGGCACTCGAAGTGTCAGTACCCTTGCTTCCCACAGCTGAAGCAACTGCCAGGGAAGTCTCCTTTTCCGACAGCAGCGTTGATGCTGGCTGATGCTCCGTGTGACCTGGGCGTACCACCACGCGCTCCACCTTGTCCACCTCCTCAAGCCGAGAAGAAACTGTTCAACTCGGGCCAATGGGCCCGGCTGATGTCGAGTATTTGCTCGACTTCTGTGGCATGCTTGTCAGCGTCTTCCCACGTGGTGAATGAAACATTTGTCTTTCCGTTCTATTCCTTGTACTACTAGCGCCCATACTGGCGCCTGTCTTAGCGCTCACCCGCAGGTTGAACATTATGTAGCTTACATAATGGGGTCCGTGCGCACTTCGTACTCGGCATCGTACCACTATGTTTCTTTCTTCACTAACATGACCACATAGACACGATGGTCTGTGCGCAGTCGGTACTTGTATAAGTAGTTGTACCATTAGTCGGTCGAACCCTAAGTTCGACCTGGTTATTCATTCAAGTCTCTGCTCCTCCTCGCTTGGGGTAGTGGTCATTCTCGACTTCCTTGCTCGATCTTCAGGACGACGCACTGTCCATAAGCCCTCGCTCGTCGTCTACGAGTCAGGCATCGACATAGGAGTATAGACCGTTGTATCAAAAGGTCGAACTTTCTAAGCTATGTTCCTAGTTTTACCTAGTCGAACATCTCATCCACCATCATGTCGAACAACGCAGTCAACCCAGTTCCTTTGGGACTACCAGCCCTCGCAGGATCACCGCTCCTCCAGTACGACCGAGCAGATCGCTGCTTCATCACCTCCACAAAGAGGGCTCCCATATACCCTCGAGGAGGCACCTGGTGTCGTGCAACCGGTCCAAACCCGCAGGTCTTGCCCATCAAGAACTCGTTAACTACTACCAGAGACACCCACCCGCTCATCCAGAAGACGTATTCACCATCCTACAGATCGACGTCGAACCTACACAAACAGCAGAAAGCGTGCAGTCACCCATCAACGAGCAACCACTCGAACTCCCTGAAGTTCAGTACGTCCCCATCGAAATCCCGGACATCGAACTACCACCAGCCCCACCCGCACCAACCAACGCACCGGTTGAAGTCCCTATGGCAACATTCACTCAAGCAGACATCGATCAGCGCATCGCTGTCGCCCTCGCAGCATACCAATCCCAACAGTCAACGGCTAACCGACCCCTCCGCCTCGACATCCCCGCTCCCGAACCTTTCAGTGGAAAGGCAGAGGACCTCAGACGCTTCATCCAATGTGTCCTCTCCTACTTCGTCGCCACCAACAACACCCGACTCAGCGATGAAGCAAAGATTGCCTTCACTGTAGCGCTGATGAGGAAGGATCTGGGGAAGACATGGGCGGACACATATTACGAGAAGTCGGCAGGGGGAGTCCAGGTCTATTCCATGTGGGCAAACTTTGTCGCTGCCCTAGAAGAGGTGTTCCCTGAGCACGGAACGCGAATCAAGGCACATCAAATCCTGATGAAACTACCTGAATGACAAAAGGATAGGAAAATGGCACTCTCCCTCGGTAACTACGTCACCCGTTTCGAGCAGCTAGCATCAAAGGCTCAGCTCAAGGATGCCGAGGTCAATGGCACCAACCGCGTCGAGAACAACTACCACACTCTCCATGCCAACTTCGTCAAAGGACTCCCGAAGGAGCTGTATTTTGCTCTCGCAACAAGGGTTGCTAGGGATCGACCCAACACCATGAAGGCCTGGTACGATGAAGTTTGAAAAGCTGACGCAGCCAAGCAGGGGGCTCTCATTGTTACAGACACCAGGGACTATGGCGAACCAATGGATATCGATGCCGCTGCTGTCGCATCAACCTTCGCCTCCACATCGGTAGGAAGGAGATGGGAACTAGGAGCCGTTCTCAATGAGGCTGATCGGAAGCTCCACAGGGACGGGAACCTGTGCTTCTACTGCCACATCAAGGCCCATAGTGCCAAGGACTGCCACAAGAAAGTGGCTGCACAACAAGGGGGTGGGAGGCCGAACCAGGGAGGATCTGGGAAGGACGACTTCCATGCCAGAATCAAGACACTCTCCGCTGACGAAAAGCGGGAGCTGTACGAAGAACTTACGATGGAGGATTTTTGAAGGGGCAGGGTGAGCCGACGCAACCACTGCCCGTATCCGTTTCACTGTCCCGTGTAATTTTAGTAGTCCGAAATGAACACGCTCTACACATTCCAATTACTGTGGGACGAAAAGACGTCGAGGCGCGCGCTTTCATCGATAGCGGCGCAACAGGAATCTTCATCAGCCCGAGATTTGTCCGAGAGCATCGACTTCGGACAGAACCTCTTCCCCGACCCATCCCCGTCTTCAACGTGGATGGAACTCCGAACAAAGAAGCACTCATTACACGAAGAGCTCTCTTATCTTACAAGATAAGCGGAGAACCCCGATTTGTCAAAGCCTACGTCGCCAGCATCGGCAAGGAAGACATCATCTTCGGCCATACCTGGCTCAAGCTTGAAAACCCCAAGATAGACTGGAAAACCGGATGAGTTGAGCTAAACCACCGGTGGACGAAAGACGAGACCAGGGCTTGGAAGATGGACCTGTACCAAAGGCGAGTGGCTCAGCTAGAACTGAAGAAGGCCGTAACTACCCCACTCCCAGAACCAACGGAGGATGAATTCGCCGTCATCTCCACCTCGGAATATGCAACCCTTCCCGAACGAAAGACTAGCAGCGCAGCAGGATATGACATCTCTGCTGTGCATCAACTTATCATCCCTGCTCAACGATGAGGCCTGATCGGCACCGATCTTATCATGGCTATACCCAAAGAACACTATGGAAGAATTGCACCTCGGTCCGGTCTAGCACTAAAGGAAATTGATGTCACTGCAGGAGTAATCGACTCCGATTACCGAGGCAAGGTCTCAGTCCTGCTGGTCAACAACTCTGACCTCCCATTCACTGTCAAAGCCAGCGACCGAGTTGCTCAGCTCATCCTTGAAAGGATAAGCACCCCATCAGTAACACTAACCAACCACATCGACGAAACAGACCACGGGGAGGATGGGTTTGGGTCAACGGGTATTGCGTCCATCGAGGAACAAGCGGAGGACATCGACGATGATGAGTTCATCATTTCCTACTTATCTGGAACACCGATGATCACCAAGTACGAGAAACAGGAACCCCTGGCAGTGAGGGACGTTCCGCTCAAGGAGCGACCCCCTGAACTTTCATCTGGCTACAAACGACTCCACAACGGCATGATCTGGAAGATCCACCATGACATTAGGCGCGTCACCACTTCCACCGAACTTGCAGCATCGAACGCCCAAGGCAAGACCGAAAAAACACTACCACAGATGGTACCATCCTACCTACACGATCTCCTCCCCGTCTTCGACAAAGGCACCGCTGCGCGACTTCCAGACCACACCGAATATGACCACGAAATCAACCTCAAGGAGGGCTTCGCAGACATGAAGCAACAGGTCTATCCGCTCAACCCGCAGCAATGAAAGGAACTTGACAAGTTCCTCGAGGAGAACCTGAGTAAAGGGTACATTCGCCCTTCGAAATCCCCGTTGGCGAGTCCATTCTTCTTTGTTGGTAAAAAGGACGGTTCACTACGTCCCTGTCAAGACTACCAGCTACTCAACGAGAACACGGTCAAGGATCGATACCCGCTCCCGCTTATATCAGACCTCCTCGACAAGTTGAAGCACACCAAGGTGTTCACGAAGATGGACCTCCGCGCCGGATACAACAATGTCCAAATCAAGAAAGGGGACGAATGGAAGGCAGCGTTCATTGTACCCGGAACTGATGGCAAACCGCCGCAGCTGTACGAACCCACAGTGATGTTCTTTGGGCTGTGTAATTCCCCTGCCACGTTCCAGCGGATGATGAACACAATATTCGCAGACATACTTCAAGAAGGCTGGCTCTGCATTTATATGGACGACATCCTGATCTTTTCCCAGGACAAGGCAGAACACGAAGAACGAACACGACGTGTTATCGAACGACTCCGGCAACACAACCTCTACCTCAAACCGGAGAAATGTGCCTTCGACGTCACCGAAGTCGAATTCCTCGGCATGATCATCCGTCCAGGAGAAATCGCAATGGACCCTGTCAAACTAGCTGGCATTGCAGATTGGCCGGTGCCGTCCAACCTCAGGCAAGTACGAGCCTTCGTTGGATTTGGAAACTTTTACCGCCGGTTTATCAAAGGCTTCTCGGACAAAGCGCAACCGCTGGTCGCTCTCACCCGGAAGGACGTCGCCTGGACCTGGGAAACTGACCAACAGAAAGCCTTCGAAACTCTCAAGAAGGCATTCCTAGAAGAACCGGTACTACGCATGCCGGATCCCGATCGACCCTTCGCTATCGAAACCGACGCTTCCAAAT